AGGACTTTGAGCTTGTCTAGTTTGGAGAAAAAGACGCTGAGGGGCGACCTTATTGCTCTTTACAGCTCCCTGAGGAGGGGACGTGGAGAGGGAGGTGCTGATCTCTCCTCCCTGAGATCCAGTGACAGGATGCACGGGGATGGTTCAAAGTTGCGCCAGGGGAGGTTTAGACTGGATATTAGGAAGCATTTATTTACCAAAAGGGTGGTCGGACACTGGAACAGGCTTCCTGGAGAGGTGGTCGATGCCCCAAGCTGTCAGTGTTAAAGGGGGTGTGGACAATACCCTTAACAACATGCTTTGACTTTTAGTCAGCGCTGAATTGGTCAGGGAGTTGGACTAGGTGATCATTGTAGGTTCCTTCCAACTGAAATAGTTTATATTCTGTTCTGAATCATTTGTTCAGCCTGGCTTTTCACTTGATTATTTGTCCAATTTCTTTCTATTGAGGCTTTGACAAAATTCTTAAAATGTGTCAACTGGGACCTACCACAAGAGGCAAAGCAAGCACTGGAGTTACTGGGCAAGTGGAAGCCCATGGATGTGGAAGACTCTCTAGAACTTCTGTCGTCTCACTTCACCAACCCAACGGTTCGGCGGTATGCTGTCGCCAGGCTTCAGCAGGCTGATGATGAGGTATTAATTGGTCTGTGGGTACTTGTGCAAGTCAGCTGGTCTCAGAATTTTTAGTCTCATTGAGTACTTTAAATGTTTGCTACTTTTTAAGGCACTTAAGTGATTTAATAGTGATGGAAAACTAAAAAGAAAATTAAATTCACTGTGATGCTATTTACTCTAAGCTCTTTATGGAGCAAAGTCTTCACATTATTGAGTGGCACTCATTGCTAATTGTCTTAGTGTGAACAGCCCGTGATAGCTGGCTTGTCAAACAAGGTGAAACAACCATATGTTCTCCCCAGAAACCAGTGATAAATTTTGAATGTTAACCTGCATAGAAGTGCTCTGAACTTCAATAGTCTGCTAAAAGATTTCCAACAAATCCACCTGGTAAATGGAAGTATATCATTATACTCTCTTGCTAAAAAAAGTGAGTAGCAAAGCATCTGTGCAATAAGGTGTTGTATACTGATTAGAATATGATGAGCTGTGATTTGTGAGTAGAGCCCACTTAATAGATGCTCATCTGTTAAACTTTAATTATATTTTATTTTCTTTTGACAGTAAAAAAACCATATTTTGAATATATTACCATAACTCCTGAATCCTTGGCAATCAATAGAATTTAAAATAAGGAGCATAAATACATAGAATTTTTGCAAACCTGCTTCAATAGCCAAGGTCATGCTGCTTGGACTTTAAAAATGTACCTTTTACAAAATATTTGAAGGCAACTAAATGGAGCAAGTGTAATAGTAGAGGGAACAAATTCATTATAAACAGAAGGTGATAAAGATTCTAATCTTCAATCTAAAATAGATAGGTGTTTTTTTTGTTTTTTGGATTCCCAGATACACAAAGGATCAAAAAAAAAAAAAAAAAAGTTAGTGCATGGGAGAGGAGATAATCTGAATTCCTGGCACCAAGTTCTAGATTTTATGCTTGAATTTTCTTTTTGCGAGCCACAGACTGTAAGGTTTATTTTGTGGATGCTGGAAGCAAGAAGGGCAGCTTAACTAAGAGAAATATTTACTTAATTAGCACTTACTACCTTTTGAGGAACAAAAAATTAGTAGTATGGTAATTCAGTATCTTTTGGGAGTCAAACTTCATCCTACATCAGTTTTTCTATTGTATATTCCTTGCTAGGGAGACCCCAATTTCCATTTCTTTGCAGGACACTAAATCCTAAGTTTTTTTTATAAATTAGGTTTGTAAAAATATATGGAGTCCTAGTCAGCTTTGACTGACGTCTTCAACTAATTTTCTTTTTTTTTTTTCCTCCATGAGGATTTGCTGATGTACCTGCTACAGTTAGTCCAGGCATTGAAATATGAAAACTTTGATGACATAAAGAATGGACTGGAACCTAGCAAGAGGGACAGTCAAGGTTCAATGTCAGAAAGCATGACAACATCTGGAACTAATGGTGCAGAAATAGACAGGTAAGAAGCTTAGATTTCCCGTAGAAAATCAGAAACATGTAACATTGTAAGCCCTCGAATTCTTCCTCCTTTTTAGGGACCATTGCATGTCCTGTTTTATAATCTGAAGCAGTGACATTAAAAAAAAATTAACCCTCAGTTTACATGGAATGTATTTCCTGACTCCAGATAGTTTATGGAGAAAACATTCTTCATTTTGAAGTTGTGGCCTTTGACCTTACCACATGTAAAGGAAGACAGCTTCTGGAGAGCAGGAAGAACACTGGCATTACTTGCTTTCTGTTGCAAAAGTTAGGATATCTTCAACGAAGTTGTTGTATGAGGCTTCGCTTCGCACTTCCATTAAAGAATAAGAATCTAAAACTCTGATCAGTCTGAAATGGAAAGAAATTTTTTCCTGCTTGTGCAAAAGAAGGTGTAGGGAGAATCCTGTAAATGTGAAGGAGCTAGGGAAGCACATTTTTTATTCTTGCAGGAATCCAAAAGAAAGACTGAAATATAGGATTAATATGGTATTAAGAAAGGTGCAAACCAGCTTGGTTAACTGGAGTCTCCTATGAATACTTAATACAAATTTCTATCATTTTTAGTCTTAAGCTTCAGTGTGTAATCACTTGTGTCGCTAGGCTATGCTTTTCATGTTACAAGTATACTGCTGCTCATTGATCTTGCTGCTAAGCTGTAGGGTGGGTGTCCTGGAATGTGTGGTGTATTTTGAGGCTGCCATGACACTTAGACATTAGTAGAGCTGTTTGATTACTTCCTTTCAGGTAAATTTACTGTCTGATTTTTTTTTTTTTTTCTTGCAAGCATTGGGTTTGTCTCCTCTGTTGTGTGTAATTGCGTTCTAGAGATGAGTGCTTGCAGGTGTTGCGTATTAGCAATTTCATCTTAAGAACATTTAAAAAAAACATATCCCGGAAATGTGGATTTGCTAAATTCCCACCTGTGTCTGCTTATTTTTTTATGGAAGATGAAACAAAATGCTAAATTTGATGTACGCGAATGTCCTTCACAGACATAAATTGTGTAGCTGTCCAGGCACAGATTTTTGCCGTTTTCAGGAACTGCAGCTTTCAAATGCGCTGTTCATGCAGATTGTTCTGAAACAGGCATGAGATACTGTCTTCAAAGATGCTTCATGTCCAGTTTTCTGAGTTTATTATGCTGTGGAAGTGAAATATGTTGCTATTTCCATGCATGCCCCTTGCCCCCAAGCAAGAACTTTGAATCACGCCAATTACATGCTTTCCTTCATGCAGTTCCCAGATCATGAGCCCTGTTCCACCTGTTTCCTCACCACCTCTTGCTTCTAAGACAAAGGAGCTTGCAGACAATGAAAGCCTTGATGTAAGTCAAATGCTTTACCTTGTATTTTTGATACTTGAGGCTTTTTTAGTGACCTGGTACTTTTTTTAGATTTTATTTGTGAATATGTGAATCTTGCTACTTAAAGTGCACAAAGAATATAAATATAAACTAAATGCTAAGAAATAGCAATAGCTTAACTGAATTTTTTTTACAGGCCATCTATTTATGTACATGGTCTCACTATTCAAAATTGGGGGACTGGGTATTGAATTCTTCATAAAATTAAGGTACTCTTCTTTAAAGGAGAAATTTACTGCAAAGGCTAGCACGTTCTGATTAGATACTGACAATTGCATATGTTTGACATGTTTTAAAGCAGTTTTTTTTAATGGAAAACATTTACACAAATTTTTTAGTTTCTGCAGTCTGTTCTTCCTGTAGCCATATTCTTTGGTGTGGGTGTCATCGTTTTGGACCTAAGTGAGCCACTGTGGTATTTTACATCTGCCAAAGATTATGCTCAATTTATACCACAAGTAGAAGAGTAATAAAAATGGGACTGGAGGGAGGGAAAGATACAAGGAAAAGACAGTTTGAGGGGAATCTGATTTTAATCTGATGTGCAGTTAATTGGTCTTTGAACTAAAGATCCATTCCCTGTTGCCAGTCTTTCTTTTTGGGTTTTAGTATTTCATAGAAAATAAGCTTCAAGTTGAGCATATCAGTAAAGATACAGAGGTTGCTTGTTAGTGGGAATATTGAAACTTGAAAAAGCAACTAAATACTGTGTATACTCTACAGATTAGTTCTTTATGTTAAAATGTAGAGCATCTTAATGACTTCCAGATCCTTCAGATGCAAAACAGGGTAGCAAATACCTTCTGAGGTTGAGTCTTACAGCAAGGGATAATTGCATAGGAGGAAAGTGTAATATAAATACAAAATTTATGTTAAAGATTTATTGTTGGAGAACATCATGTACTTCTAACATGTTGGTAAATAGATTACTGTAGCAGCAGACCTGTTTTTAATTGTAGTGTTGTTGCTGGATTTGTTTTGGAGTAATATTAAAACTGATATGTTTTAAATATTAGGTTGGATTGGATTCAGCTCTTAGAAGGGAATGTATCTCTCAAAACTCTCCGCAATTGTTTGGGGTTTTTCCTTAACTTTGTCTTTCTCCCAGGGGCTCAGACTTCTGTATAACTTCATTTTGCTTTTCTTAATTCCCTTCCAGCAAGACCTTTGCACTTTCTTGATAACACGAGCATGCAAAAATTCCACGTTGGCAAACTACTTATACTGGTATGTTAGAAACTATTTATTCATACTCTATCAATATCTAATTGAAATGGAAGCCCAGAAGGATGCACAGCAAAAGATGAACTGTCTTAAGAACTTGAGAACCTCAGTTTCTGTCAGGGTGAAGGAGTAGATTTAAAACAATATACATTTGAACAAAATAATTAGTAAAAGGAGGGAGCTGTATTTTAGAATGCACAAATGCGCTTTACTGTTAGACAAAGGAAGGTGATTTGTAGGGCATAAAGTACATTTTAAAAAAAAAAAGTCTAACTGTAGTTTATAAGTTGTCATTCAAGTTTATGGTTGTGGGAAGTAGATAAACTTCTGCTCTCCTTTTCTGTTTGGCTTATGTTTGTAGTTTTTGACAGTGTTGGCTAGAATATTAAGGTTATGCACTTTAGTATTGAGTGTACTTTATGAAGGTTCATAAAGCACAACTTTTTGTGATAACTTAATTATTTTTTAGATTCCACTTGTGGTTATGCTATGAGCACAAAGTCATTGCAAATGTGTGCTTTCTTAAGAGGGCATTTTATTTGTGAATAGTTCATCTAGATAGTGGAGAGGAAAAATTACTCAGCTAAAGATCTTGTCTCACTTCAGTCCCTTAAGAATTAACTTAGATGCCTGAATGAGTCATCTGCATGCTTCTGAGTAAGCATTTGCAGACAGGAGTTGCCTCACTTGAAGAAAGCTGCGATGAATAGAGCTGTATTCTCTGAAAGGTGTGTGTTTATATATGTGTATATATTAATGTACCTATATATTTGCATATATACAACACATACAGCTATTTAGTTGTGTATACACACATATTTTAAAATAGAGAGCTTAGGTGCCTTTTACATGACTAAACTTAAGTGAAACGATTCTTATTTGTATCCTTCGTAGATGCATCTTATAATGAAAAATACCAATACACATGATTATATGTTAATGTGCTATGAATATTAACCACAGATAAGTTGTGGATTAGGAATAGAGTGTGGTAGGTAATGTAAACCTGCCAAACTGTCCTTACAAAATTCGTACAATAATCCTGACCTACCCTGAGAGTGATTCCATTTGTAAATGTCTTTCTAAATTTCATTATTTTCACTGCTTTTTCAGCAGCTTGAATTGAAAATACTTAAGTGCATGACCTAACTACAGCTTGGCAGTGTACATACTTCTATTACAGTGGCCAAAGATAATGTTTGGCTTCAGAAAGGAGTGCTGTTAAATTTAAATTATTAGAATAAGTGCAGGCTGAATTGATGTGGGTAGAAGCCAAATGCTTGACCTAATCAAATATCCTTCATTAAGGTAAGTGTTATTAGGTTAGCTTATTTCTATCACATTGATAGAAACTGTGCACTCACATTTCAGCAACATCTCAGACAGAAAGAAGAAAGTTGAAAGCATCCAGAACTCTGAAGTTTTTGTCTTAAAACAGATGGGGGGAGGCAGGGAAGAAAAAAAACAACACACAAACCCCAAACCAGACAATTTATTCTTTGTTTTCCTTCCAGACATCTCAATTTCTCAGTGACAAAATACAAATGTTGCAGCCACTGTTTCAGCTGACGTAGCCATAAATCCTCTTGGCTGCTGATCAATTGCTCATTTCAACTACCTAGACACAGCATGCACCTAAAATGATCAATGGAAAAAGTACAATAACCCTTGAAAATCAAGCCTCCTGTTCATTCACTTGTCATTGTAAAGCTGTCCTATCCTTATACTTTAACAGCGCTTACAGAAGTCAGTGCTGCTGGTTTTTTCTGTCTCTGGGACCTATGAGACACCTATCCAAGTATGAAGAATTACTCTTACTCCTTGTTTCAAGATACCTTTGAGAAACTGTCTTAAGGCTTTTTAACAAATGAAGACGAAAATGGGATGTTTCAATTCATTACTTTTTTCACTGATGTTTTGGTGCTCAGACTTTGTAAATATGGACCTATTTTTATACATATTACAAATGTAATTTTGTCATTTTAGTGAGGGAACGGTGTGGAACAATATATTAGCACAGATCTAGAAGTAATCTCTAGTTATATATTGTATTGAGATAATACTGATGGAATAAGTTACATAGGCCTTATTTTAATATATATAATATATTGTGTATTTATAAATAAGACTAGTAAAATCTGATCAGCTGCAAATGACAGACCTCTAATCTTGTCTCATAATCATTGTTGTAAAGAGATTTTACACAAGTGCATAATGAAAGGTTAATTCTAGCTGTCACTGTAAAGTCTGTGTGTTTGTGCAGTCACTTTTGAATCCAAATGCAGTGTTTGAAAATTGACTGACTTGCTAATTTCTTCTTCTTTTTTAATAGTGGGGTTACATTTTTACTAGGTAGTACTAGGAGATATAGTGCTCAACAGAAAGAAGACCTTCAGTGCATAGCTACTTTTTGCTTGTCAGTGCTGCAAATAGAAGGAAGCACAAAAGCATTCCAAACAACTGCTTAACACAACAAAATAAATTTTCAGTATAACTGTCCCAAATTGTACTGTTCAACTCTTGTACCTGAATCATAATTTTTAGAAATGAAAACTTGTTTTGGAATGTAGACTTTGCAGAGCTCCTTCAGGATACCATCTCTTCCACCATTGCTAATAGTAAAACAGGGAACAGGTAGGGTGAGATTCCTGTTGTTTTTGCAGGTATACTTGCAGCCCCTATGTAGAGGGTAGCAGCACCGTGGAATGCCCACTCCTCCCACCTGTACTGCTTGGTTGGAGTGTTCATATGATTTGGACTTGTCTGTTTGAGATGCCACTTCACTGTAAGTGGAAGACTTCAGAAACTTTAAGGGACTCTCCTGATCCAAGTGGGAACTTGACTATGCAATTTTGAAGAGTTCATCTGTTGGTTGATACCCTATTCAAATACCGACTTTATTTTTAGTTCCAGGCCTATAATACAGGGCTTGCTGTATTTCACTTAAATTGTGTGGCACTGGAGTACAGCATAACTTGGGTTGTTTTTATGCTGCAGGTATGTAATAGTGGAGTGTGAAGATCAAGACACTCAGCAGAGGGACCCAAAGACTCACGAAATGTACTTAAATGTGATGCGAAGATTTAGTCAGGCTTTGCTGAAGGTAATGCCTCTGTGTAAGGAAAAATACAGTGTTTTGGGATAGTCATTCTTTAAAAAGGCACAGATGACTAGAAGGAGGACAGTTTTTCATGTCATACATATGGAATTTTTAGAAAAGCTTCTACTTTTGCTTGAATTTTGAGTTTGTGGTAAACCAAAGAAACTACTGAAAAAGAAAAGAACTTTTTCCTCTGTTTTATTGCTTGTTCCTGGTAGTAACATGCTGGTTCTAAAATCCTCTGCCTTGTGTAATCAGTTTATTTTAATTACTATTTCTTTATTGGAAGCACTTGTCCTTGCGGTGCAAATTGAGACAAGAGACCGGTCTTTTGAATTCACAGACAGTGTTGTTCTGTGTATCAGCAGCAGAGGGTGCTGGAGCAGTGGGGAAAAAAAAACAACCAAACAAACTTTTGTGATTTATGATTTACAGCAGGTGTGCAGTCTTTCCTCATTTTAGTGTGTCGCTCACTTCATACTAATTCCCGTTTTAGGGATGTTATTCAAATCTAATTCTTAGGCTTTGTAAGAATATTCCATGTGCTTATTCTTACTAACTTACTTTGTCTGTGTGAATAGGCTTGTCATGCATGACTGTTCACCGCTGAAATTGTTGATGCAAATTGAAGTGCAGTAGTAGGTCAGATAATTGATTGCCAGCTACAGTGATTCTGATGGTGTTTTACAGAAAATACCTTTTGAATTGACAGAAAATTGATCATTATTCACTTACCTCTTAAAAGCCCAAAGGCCTAAGAATAAAGGAATAATCTCTAGATAAAATAATTACAGAACAAAGAACTAATTTTGTTTCTTTTAATTCACTTAGGGTGATAAGTCTGTCAGAGTTATGCGTTCGTTGTTGGCAGCCCAGCAGACTTTTGTAGATCGGCTGGTTCATGTAATGAAAGCAGTGCAGCGTGAAAGTGGGAATCGTAAGAAAAAGGTAACTAAAGGATTGGAAAACTTATCTCTGGCTAGCATTCAACAGTAAGAATTCTAGCTTCTCACTAAAAATTCTTAGCACTGAGATTGTAAGAGATGTCCATCTGTCCTGTATATGTATTTGACCTTTATTATGTAGGACACCAAGTGTAAAGTACTTGAAAATTGACTGTTATGTGTTTCTGGTAACTACAGATGTAAGAATGTAGAGCAAGCCATGAAGTCTGTGATCTACGCAAGCTGTTGGCAATTTGGTTCATTGGTGGGAGGGGATCTCCTTGAGTTCAGGGATTTAAAGTATCAGAGATGAAGGCTTGAATCAAGTGTCTGAAACAGACCTAACACTTGCTACTGGTGTAGAAAATAAATCATCCTTCTACTTGTGCAGGCAATTTAAAAATAAATTTTTGTAAGACTGCTATACCTGGTACTTAAAAAACCTGCTTGACTATACTCAGACTAGATGGAATATCTTATTCAGATTACTTCAAATAGATAATTTTTATTTCACTGCATTTTATGAGTGAAACCTTGATTCTTTGGAAGAGTAAAGAATTTAATAAATTGGATAATTGCTAGATCCTCTGTTAAAAGACTTTTTAACTGTTTGTCTATAGCTAGTATGTGTGTTTTTGTTTTTTAAACAAGTTTTTATTCTTTTAGAATGAGAGGCTTCAGGCATTGTTAGCAGATAATGAAAAGATGAACTTAGCAGATATGGAACTTATTCCACTTCCGCTGGAACCTCAGGTGAAAATTAAAGGGATAATCCCTGAAAAAGCCACACTTTTCAAGGTAAATAAGATCTTCTGAATAGATGAAATACACACAAATCTTAGGAGCTACAAGCTTAGAAACATCAGTTAAAAGACTTAGAGGCTGACATAGTTGAGGCAAAAGGTAACTGTAATGCGCTCTTAAAGTGGCTAAACAACTCTATTTTCTTTGTGAAACTTTTTTTCAAGTTGATGTCCAGGAAGCATTTTCTGCCAATTAAAAAATGTTCAAGCTGCTCTGGCAACTCGGGTTGATATATCATCTCTACTAGGTCATAATTTTATTATGCCTAGTATTTCAAACTTTGACAGGCTACTTGTTGCTTGTGATTTAATTTCTGTTTACTTAAAATCAGAGATAAACATTTTTGCATAGTGTTCTACCATACCATTTTTTGGTTTCCCAGCCTTGGCTTGCTTCTTTATATACCAGTTAGTCTCGTTGAAGAGTATGCTGCTTCAGTTGCATGCTGTTGCACTTCAGGTTGAAGGCAATGTTGGAAAGATCTTCTCATCAAAGCAAGGTTTCACAAACTTGAGTCAACTTCTACAGTGAATATGATTTAAGAGTCGGGGGAAGAATGTGACAAAAAGACTGCTGCAACAGTAACTAAGTATTTCCTATCAAGAATAATAGCTTAACTTGATCAGGACAAACTCAAGTCAGATAGTCTACATATAGGTCTTCTGTAGTAATGTAGAAAGTTTAGGACCAGAAATATGAGGAGTAGCTTGTTTCAAAATCAGAGATGGCTTTGATCCTCTTGATTCTGAAAGGTTACAGACTTCCATTTAATCTCTCATTCTGTACTATGGGATAAAAAGGTGTCAAACCCAAAGAGGGAAGAATGACTAATTTTTGGTGCTCTTGGACATCACATGGCAGTAGGACTATGTAAAGAATAATTTTTCCTTTTTTTCTGGGACTTAATAATTTTGAAACATCATTGCATGTGCAAATCTAATGTAAACTGCTCAAATAGTAAACTCTGTATCCTTGATTATTTTTTGTTTGTTTTGGTTTTGAGCGAAGTGACTTGGTCAGTTGCAATAAATGAAATCATGCATGTAGGGTATCCCCTTCAACCCATTCTCTGTAGAGAAATTGCAAACAATTAAATTGACTTTCTCGAACAACAATGTACAAAGGCATTTTTGCCTTTACTAAATAGATTAAGGAAGGAATTAATTGTTTAAGATGTCTTGCCCCTAGCATTTCTTTGATATTTATCCTATAATTGTGTCTCTTTGATCTGGTCAGTTTAAATTTGTTTTGTTGTGACCTTCTGCATAGTGCTTCTATGTTGGTTGGAATTACATGCATACAAACAAAATCTGAATCCGGTCCTTTCCTCTTGTGCTGCTGGTGGGGGATGAGGGGGGGAATGTATCCTTCACGTTCCTTGCTAAAAAAAGAAGGAAAGCCTTAGGATATTTTTTTTAAAAACCATGCCTAGATCACTATTTTGCTAAGTGGAAATGGTATGTTCTAACTCTTGAGTCCTAGAGAGTGAGTAACTACTTTTAGAAGCTTCAGAATTGCTTCTTTTCTACTGAACTTGAGGAATGTGAAGAGACTTCTGGTGCTCACTGCAATGCTGTTGGTATTCAAATGGGACTTTTCTAAACCTTTTTCTAACTGAATTTGATACTTGAATCCTATGACCTGCTACTTGTTAATTCACTTCTAATTTACAATGCAGAAGACAAGGATTTATATTTTAGAACTCCACTGTAGCAACATGCTAATGTGAACATTGCTGTGAACCAGCTTAGTAGAGTAAGTTTCCTTTTCCAGAGTGCCTTAATGCCTGCTCAGTTATTCTTCAAGACAGAAGATGGGGGCAAATATCCTGTAATTTTTAAGCATGGTGATGATTTACGTCAAGATCAACTTATTCTTCAGATTATTTCACTCATGGATAAGGTGAGAATTATTAATCCACATCCTTGCCCTTCTGTGTTCTTTATTTCCCTTGACTCTCTCTTAACGTTGCTAATAAATTCCAGATTCTCAGATCTTAGGTGACTTTTTTTTCTTTATAGCCAGGCAATGATCCTGTGTAGATTTAAAAAAAAAAAAAAAAAAAAAAAAAAATTGTGATACAGACTTTTGCTCAAAACTGATTTCAGTGAAGAACAGTGGAGATCAATGTCCAATACACCTTCCTTTTGGAAATAGAAGCTGATTTTTAATGCATTCATCTTTCCTTTTTTGTATGTGTTTTGTTTTTTTTTTTTCCCAGCTGTTAAGAAAAGAGAATCTGGATTTGAAGCTGACACCCTATAAAGTGCTGGCAACTAGTACAAAACATGGTAGGAATACTTCGATTTCCTAAAAATATAGTAGTGGGAGTCGTCGTCTTCTCCCTCTGTTCATAGGTTGTGACACACTAAGAAAACATCTCTCATGAAAATAGTACAGCATTCTAAAAAGGATTCAAATGTGTAAGACAGTCTTGTTGCAATGTAAGTCATGGAAGTAAATGACTTGAGTGACCACAGTATTCCATAGGTAACTCAAATACCTTCATGAAGGAAGCCTGGTCTGGATTTTGGAGTATGTGACAACCAGTAGTGTTACCTTTACTGCTAGCTTGCTGTGTGCTCTCAAACAAGTAACTTTTGATATTCCTATTTATAGATCTGAAATGGAGGAAAAATACAAGACAAAACAAAATGAAAGTTGGCTATACTTTTAGATACTTTCTGAATAAATATTTAGAAAGCCATCGCTTTATCTTTCTCTTCTCATGAAAACTGTGAACAACAGACCTTTTGCAAGCTGATTTGATATTAATGACAAGTTGTTTTAAAACTACCGAAGGCAGAAAATTGGGACAAAACATGGTTTTTTTGCTGATGAGTAGTTGTTGAATTAAAGTGTGTATTAGTGTTGTCCTTTAATAAACATGCATTATAGAGTAGCTTGAAAGTTCTGTGCATTGAAGATTTTGGGTTTTTTTGGTTGTTTTCTGTCACAGGCTTCATGCAGTTTATTCAGTCCGTACCAGTTGCAGAAGTACTTGCTACTGAGGAAAGTATACAGGTATGGGATGGGAGATTTTTAAGTAGTCTTCTGGTCAGACAGTATAAATTACAAGCTTAAATATCATACAAAAGTCTTTAGTCTCTCAACTGATTTTTGTATCCATTGTTAGAAGAAAAATTACAGCTTGAAATATAAGGGTATTTACAGCAGATAATTCCAAAAATTATGCTTAAATCAACATATGAGCATCTCATCTTCTAAAAATAATACCAGTTAAATAATTAAAGTGTAATGTAGTTGTGATATTGAAATTCTGTCTTTTTTGTAATGATGAGTGGGAGATGCATGGCACTTGTGTACTGTTTTGTTCTAAAGTGTATCTCTCATTCATCCACTAGTTTTGGCTTGATACCTTGTCAAAGTATCTTTTAATGATTTTTTTTTTTGTTTGGTTTTTTGTTTACTTGTGTGTGGTTTTTTTAATGGAACAACTAAATCGTTTGTCTGTATAATTTCTGATGTCTCTTTCCCTGCCCCTATACATCTACATAGTGGATGTATAGAAATGTGTGAATTTTTTATGTCTCTCTCTAATTATTTTTTTTTACTTAACAGGCTTTCTGTAACTGTTGTGGAATTGGGCAGGGACACATAATTGAACAGTGACACACTAAATTCATTCTGATTTCAAGCATGGCACCAAAGCTAGGTAGCAGAGCTCAACTGGTTGAGATAAAAAGTTAGTTAAAAACACACCAAACTGACATATGAGTTATGTAGCTAATGAGCACCTTTATGTTGGATTCAGTTTGTCACAGTACCTTTTTTCCCTTTTCATATGGTTGATGGTGGAGTTTGCATTTGCTCTTAGCTAGTAAGTGGGAGCCAATGCAAATAGCTCCCAGCTACTATAAACTACATATATTAAAAAAATAGGAATTAAAAAATGCTTACCGTTTGTCACTATCATTTGTGTAACAAACAAGCATACCAAATGCTTATCATTTATAAAAAAATGTTTATCATTAATCAATGACCAGCATCAACTTGCATAAGGTTTTTGAGCTTTCCTTTCCATAAAGATTGTGATAAGCTGTAACTACACATTCAGTAATCATATAGTTTTTAAAGTACTTTCTTGGCAGTCCTTTGTAATCTTGGAAATGTACTATTCATGTTCTTGTCCATTATATGTTTTTATAGAATAATATATTTCAGAATGCTTGTGAAATTGTCATTTTACAATTCACTATAAAATCACATTCCAATCTAAAATAGGTGCCCCACTGTTTTAGTTGCTGTGCAGCTGTAAGGAAAATTTAAATGTATTTTTACAAAAAATAAATTATTTAATTTATAACTTTAATTTATATATATAATTTAATGTATAATATATAAAATTTAATGTTTTGGTGTTTGAGTGTTACTTACCTTCTATCAGCAATCTTGAAGTTACAGTTCATCAGGTACTTCTCGTCCACTCTCCACCGTTTAGCATTTGGATGGTCTGAAGTCTGATTTGTTTTTGGTTTTTGTTTTGTTTGTTTACACACAGCATGTAAAATTTTGGAGCACTGACAGTAGATCTCTCTAGTGTCCTGTTAACCAATTAAAAATTTCCATCCACATTTCTCTTAGGGATTTCATTTAACAGAATCTTTCTGCTCTGCAGCTTTTTAAATAGATCTCAGTAGGGCTTGTTCCTCTCTAAGCAAAGATAATTAAAACTTTTCCCAGTCCTTAAAACTCCGATACATGTTGCAAAAGGACTGCTTTTCAGGGAAAACTTTCTTAAATTAGCCTGCAGGTACCTTCTTGTCAGTACCTCCTTTTCATTTGTAAGATCCCTTCTTTTTTTCATTAGGATTTAAGTCACTTAACGTCATGTGGATGCCTACAAAGCTCCTCTTTCCGGTGCTTGGTGCTTGCTTACTTCGATGTTTGCTTGCAGGACAAAACTCGTGCTTAGGCTTGGATTTAGTTTACCCATCTTTTGTCGCAGTCAAAAAAAAAAAAAAATTTTTCTTCTGAGTAGTGGGGAAGGACTGTTTTCTCCCTGTCCGCATTTCACAGGAAATACCAAATTTCTATTTGATGACTTATATTTTCCTTTTAAACTCAGCAGTGGTTGGCTGTGTTGAGGAATAGGGAGGCACATAATGATGATAAACCTTGTAAGAGTGTGTGTCCCAAATGTGAATCTGTATTGGATTTAGTAATCGGTAACAAATCTGAACTGAATCCTGTTCTAGTTTTTGCTGATCTGGCATAAACAGTTTCCTGTGGAAGTATCTTGCACTTGTAGTTACTAATTAGTAACTTTTCAATGCATTGTTAATTTTTTGAAGCTGTTAGTAAAGAATTTCAATTTGAACCTTTTCAATTTGAACTTCATATTTGTTTCTACTGAGTATAAGAATACAATGATTAAGACAGAAAATAAAGCGATACAAAATTAAATTAGACCTTACTAGGGTATTTGGGAGTGGTTGTTAGTTCAGCAGATTGTAATAATGACAGTTTGTGTTCTTGATTTAAATCTTTCTTTCTGCCAGTTCTAAAGAACCTGTTTCAGATCATGTGGAATAACTAAATATTGTTGTTGACTTCCCCTCCAGAACTTCTTCAGAAAACATGCACCGAGTGAGACCGGCCCTCATGGAATAAGTGCCGAGGTGATGGACACATATGTTAAGAGCTGTGGTAAGTTACAGTCTTAGAGGTGGTAACTTCGTATCTGAAGTATAAAGGACGGGGTAGGTGAGGTATTAAGACATTTCAGTTTAGATGACTGCAGATAGATGACAACAAGATATGCATGTACTTGCTGTCAGAATCCCTGTGAAAATGATAGTTTTGAGCCTGACATGTCATATGCAATTCCTTTCCTCAGCCCTCTTTTTGTTCTCCTTAAAAGAGACTACAAGCTAAATACACTTTGCTTTCTAGCAATAATCTTAACCTCTGCCCCTCCCACATCATGCGTTGGATAATTCAGGGAGATGTAAAGTATTTATACAGTAATAAATCATCTGTATTTGAGCTAGGAAATTTTAAAACATCTGGTTTTTTGGGGTATTGAGGCTACATTTAGCTTCTTGTTCCATTTGGATGACAAGAAAAAGTGGTAGTGTAGTTCTTGTTCAGTAAACTGATGGCAAGGTTAAAATGACACATTTGCTGTCCAGTAAATTAAAAGCAACTTTATTCTAAAAAACAACAACAAAAAAACCCCAACAACAACAAAAAAAAATGGAATTTGCTTGTTGCTCCACAGTATCTTCTCTTTCTGATCGTACAGTCTTTAGAACTGTTTCAGACTGTTCTGGTTAGTGGGTCAAAGTAAGCATTAACACAGTTCATGTTTGTTCTAATTTATTTGTCACTGCCTGGCTTACTGCTTAGCTTGTGAATTCTGCTGGCGTATACATTCACATTCATATCAGTGTCTAATGCTTGTTTACAGTTGTCTTAAAATATCTTAAGTTCAAAATGTGTACATTCATTTTGCTCAAAATATTTCATCTTCCTTTGAAGTACCTTGCTCACAATCTTGAATGGATTTAGGCTTTTAGTGTTAGGCATGTAACTGCATAGAAAGAAATTCTAGGCGGTACTGAATGAACTTCAGAGTTTTAATGTATTAATTCAAATGTTCTTCACAGAGATGATAATCTTGTTTATTCTTCACCAGCACCACCTCTGCTCCTAGTCTTTCTGGTATATTTATTAGTTGTGAACAAGAACCAAGATCATGTCATATGCTGCTGTTAATTGTGTGGAACGTTTTGCTCTCCAGGAAAGATACTTACATTGATGTTGACTATTTACTTGTTACAGCTGGTTACTGTGTAATTACTTACATCCTTGGAGTTGGAGATAGACATCTGGATAATCTTTTGCTAACAAAAACAGGTAATTCTTTTTAGCAGTATAATTTTATAACAGTATTTGTTAAATTTCTAATGTGTTGGTACTGTTTTGCTCCATTTTCCTTTTGAGTATAACCCACTGAGTATTGTAGATGAGAATATATTTTTAAATGTAAACTTCTATTGTCTCATCTAAAGTAATATTTGATCCAGTGAATCAAAGTTTAGGTTTAACTGATTAGTAGTGTGAAGTGGCAGCTGAAGAATAAGAAAACAGGTAGATAAATTGCTCTTTAAACACATTAGTAGGCAAGATATAATGTGTATCTGGTATGTGATATGGGATTTTGATGTCAGTTTAAGAGCCATTTATACATCTGTAGGTAATGGAAGTCTAACTTCACCTAAACACAGACATGTGTTTAAACACCAGGGTTTTTGTTTAATTTTCAGCTGGCTTGTTCTACTGTCACTTTTTTTTACACTGAAAACTGGACCTGTAAGTTGTTTTTTGTTTAACACAAGAATTTTCTTGAGGGGTGCTACTTTTTTTGAAAAAGGTATGGATGTAGTATACAGTAAAATTTGACTGCCTTTACCTAAGACCGAGAAGCACTTCACTGTTATCTTAAATTTGGCTAAAATCATAATTACCTTTTTTTTTTTTCAGAACTTTTGGTCCAAAGATGAAAAATAGGGATGCATTAAAAAATATTTGTAAAGTGACTCCAACCCCAAGTATCCCGACTGTTCTTATCAAACCATTTTTCATTAAATTCTTACATTCCTGTTTCGTAGCTTTTTTTTAACGTGCTATCAGAAAGCAAATTCAAGATCTACTAATTAGATGCCAGTTGTATTTTAATAATTGTCAAATAATTCTGGGTTCTTATGTATACTATTCCAAATAACAGTAGATGTTTAGACAAGTATTGTCAGTAGTCATACAGAATTAGGTATAATTTTGATGACTTCATTGAGGTGTTCATGCGAATTCCCGTCTCAGATTTCACATTCTTTTAAACAAAGTGGTTCTGTGAGCTTTCTAAGAAATTTTTCTAAGGAATTTACATGATGCATCTTCTATTCCCTATAATTCTTGTGTTGGTGATGAAACCAATCCATTGTACAGCAAAAATCCAAGTGTTTCATAATCAGACTAGCTGAGCTGGCTGGACCATTCAGCTCCTGTTGAGATTTTTTTTTTATTTTTAAGTCTTCTCTGAAAACAAAGAAGGAAATAGACTCTTTAGTGTCCTGCTCATTACCAATTTAAGCTAGGGAAGAGAAAGTAGTAGAAGTTACTGTTTATACATCCTTCAGTTTGCAGCAAAACACATGTATCTTGAAAGTTCAAAATAGCAGATATATATTTTGGTTCTCCCTAACTTGTTTCAACTTTTTTAATGTTATTTTTTTGTTGCCATCTGTATGGATTAATAGTTCACAGACAGAGTAAATAATTCTAGTGATTCTAAATAAATAGATTTCTCTAGTAGAGGAAATGAAAGATTTGAAAATTAAGGTACTTCAACTATGACAATCAATGCCTTGGGGTGGAGAGAAATTAAAATGTTTTAGTTGAAAATGAGTTCTACAAAGTTTTTAACAAACAAAAACATTTATTTTAGGGGGAATTTAGTTGGGGTTTTTTGTTCATGTTTGTTTTTTCTTTGTTTTTTGCTTGTTTGTTTTTGAACTACAGCTTCCCATAGGAGTTCTGATGCCTTGGATACCTTCATTATGTAATAATGAAGAGTTAGGAATTGTGGTTGTGTTTATAATAGTGAAACACTTACTGAATGGGAAACCTGTAAATTAAAAATGTTACTTGGGCAGAAGAGACACATCCATGTGGAAGGTGTGTTAGCTTACAGATGAGACTGAAGCATATATTACTTCGAATCAGCACGCTCTGTATGAAAGAGTAGAAAATTAACCATTGGGCCTTGGTTAGGGTAAAAGGTCTTGCACTAAGCACATGGGGGAGCAACTAAAGCCAAGTGTATTTTTCCTTATCTGCTTGGAAATGTACATATGGGCATTTAAAAATTTGTCTTTAGAGGTCTCTTATCATTTGTCTAAGGTGATGGGTATGAATCTTCCTGTAGCAGGCACTGCTTGCATGCTCAGAGCAGTAGTATTTAGTGTTTTCATTTGGGATCAAGTGCATCTTACCTGTCTGTGTTAAAAAGAAACAGCACAATGGCTGTTTGGCTTAGCGGAAGAATTTGGGCAGTACAGCAGAGGGCAGCGCACATCCACGGTACATTCTGAGCCTGAAATTGTTTTCAGTCTGCTGCCTATGCTCTGTCACATACCGAGAGAGGTTTTTTGAGCTATCATGAGAAATTCTTACGTTCCAAATACAACAAAGACTTGCTATAAACGCTTGTTTCTTGCTACTGAGAATCCCTTAGACTTGTTAGGAAAAGCTAATCTCATTCTTCTCTTGAAGAATGGAAGCTGTAAGTAACTTTCTTCAAAATTATATGACATATATGCATCCTTTCTGGATGATACTTATTTAATGAATTAAAGCTTTCCAATAGGATAAAGAATGCTGAGTACCAGCTGTGGGTTCACATATTTTCTTGGATTTATATGGCAATATATGGCATTACATTTTCATCTCTACACGTTAGTTTGGTGGATGCAGCCACATCTGTGTTGGACTCCTTGCAATAGAACTGTTGCATCATCTCCTAACATACAGATGTCTGTACTTATAATAGATATGGTATAATTTAAATGTTAAGCAATAGATACTGAAGTTCATAAAACCAATTTTTTTCCCACTCGGTGTTAGAAGATGGGGGGGTTGTGCTATAGGATGAGAATGTTTATCTGGGTGAAATAATTTCTGCTGTCTTTCATGACTGTTTTATGCCTCCAATTCTAGAAGTAGGGTAACTTTTATTTTAAGTAGACTTAAACAAGAAATCTAGACTTCTAGATTTTTAAATGCTCTACCGTTATACTTCAAGGGCAGCTGTAGATGTTTGTTTGGAGAGAGATATAGGGAACCGTCAGTCAAAACATCCCCATCTATCAGTAATGTTAAAAATTACAAGAATGCTTGCATCGGTTTCACAAATGTGCCTTAACTTGTAATCTGAATGTCACATTATAAAGTCAATATTGTGCTACAGGAATATTTATTTTCTCTGAGAACTTTCTACTTCTGCTGGAGGTGAAATATATTATCAATTGCTGTATGTTCTAATTCCTTGTTTGCAGATCTATAACAGCAGATATTACTGTGACTTGTAAATAACAAGACACTGTTGTGCAGCTGAATACCCAGCATTAAGTAACATCAGTGCCTTGTTGCAGGATTACAGACTGATGTATGTATTAATGCCGGTATCTGACTTACCAGCTAATATGCCCTTTGTTGCCTTGGAAGGAAGAGCTGGATGGTTGTGAAGCTGGATTGTGATATACCAGATGTAGCATGTTCAGTTAACTTTCATGTAATAATGCGTTATGCTTCACATGTGTTTCACTTCTGTCTTGTCTTCCCTTGAAAGTACTTTCTTCTGCGTTTGTTGTACTCTCTGGTTTTGATGGTGGAGTTGGGATCTAGCTACTGATGCAACACCCAGATATGCACGTCTTAATGTTAGAGAAGCCTTCTAAAGTCTTAAGACTGGACTTACAGTCCTCATTAGATCTTTGATAGTGTTTCAGCTATGATAGACAAGTGAAATCTGTCCCATTTGAGATATCTTAATAACTTCAGCTTGCTTTATAGACAGCCAAAGGTTTCACAAAGGTCCTGTCATACTTGCAGGCTATGTGTAGATATTTTTAGGCTATCCTGAGACATTCAGATGGCATTCAAGAGTAGCACCGCATGTGTGTGTCTGAGCAACTAATTCTCACCCTAGTGACTGACCAACTTAATCTTTCAATAACCTTTACAGACCTACATGTAAATTCAAGTTCCCATTATAGGTTCCCTAAATACAGCTGTTGGTATGCTAAAACATTTTCTCTTACAGGTATCTTGAACGGTATTTCTTATTTAACAATGAATACTGACTTTTTTTTTTTCTCATAATATGCCTGCATGGAGTGTATTTTGAGAATGGACAGCTTGAGGTGTGAGGGGAGGAAAATTAAAATGCTTAGCACAAGCTGGGCCCTTATCCATTATCATCAACAGCGATAAAACTTTACCTCCAGCTGTTGCTGCATACTGATTTTAAAGTCTGTATCCTGAATAAGTCCTTAACAATTCATACTACTTTCTTAGGTTTTTGTGTAGTCTTAGAAAAGTTATAACATGTAGCTGATGAAAATTATCACAATAAATTAGGCATTCTGATTTTTTCCTCATGGCAGTGCTCTGTTAGCAAAGGAGAAATTTTGATGGTAACGTCAGAATTTGTTGAGAAAGCCAGGAAACCACTCCATCCATCCCATGCATGCACACAATTTCATCAGAGGAATTTTTATGCCATTGCTTCAAATTTAAAATAGGAATTCAGTTTAAATAGTCATTAATTTGTAATTTTTTTTATACGAGCCATGTTAAAATAATAGTGGCAGTTTCAGTTTAGAGAAAACACATTGAAATTCAGAGCTTGGGGTTTTTTGTATTTTGGTTTGGGTTTTTTTCCCCTCTTCCCTAAAGTTGGGAACAGCTAAGTTCAGAATAACTTGTGAGGCTTTCTTACCTATTAAAAGGCAATTGCCACCAGACTAATTTTATTTTAGTAATTGCTTTGCCTTCCACATTTCATTTAAGGATCTCTGAGTTCTGTGCAGGTTTTCAATAGCTTTTCCTAACAGTCCTCTGGTGAAATAGAACGATTGCTGTGCTGTTATATGGGAACTTTCTCCTGCACTAAAAACTAGGCATTAGCAGTAAAAGTGGTGGACAAATCAGCCTCTCTGGCTGCAGTAAGATGTTGTTGGCTATTGCACCAATTTTTAATCTCCGTAAGTCCATGCTTCACTTAACCAAAGATCACTTTGCTCTCAAGGCTGAAAGGAACTCAGATGGATTTTCAAATCCCTCATGGTCTGACTTCT